CATAAAATGACCTGGCTGGAAGAGAGCTTAGAAAGGGCCAGCTGGTCTAGGGATTAGCAACCCCAGAGCCTGTGGCCAACTCACTCATGCATTCATTTCACTGAGAAGTATTTATCGAGAGTAGCGGAACTGTTTGAATCAGGTGTCCCCAGGCCCTGGTGGGCATGGGTGAGGGGAGAGGAGCAGGCTGGGTATTGGGGAGTGAATGGCCCTATGTGAAGGATAGCACATTACCTCATCTGGAGCCCCATAGGCCCTGATGGCTGCCTTTTAGGGGGTAACTGCCCTGGGGAGCCCAGGCGCTAGCGGTCCTATAGCTGTGTGCAGGAAGCAGGGCAGTGTCCCAAGAGCCTGGCTCAATGGGCACTCAGTGAATGTGCATTGGGTGGAGTGAATGAATTCTAGACCCTGGGTTTCACTTCTTTGAGCCTGTTTCCCATCTATAAAATAGTCCTGACGGATGCAATGAAGCGTTTGAATGGACATATTAGGTAGAAGCTACATATGAGCAGTGGAAGGACCGCCCCGAGGAACCTTTTCCCTTGACCTGAAAGATTTCAGAGTCCTTAAGGGGGAGTAATAGAGTAGATAATTATTTAGACCTGAACTGGAGGCAAGGACAATGATAATAAATAGGTTGCACATTAGAAGCCTGGGGGCACAACATCCTGACCTTGTGGCTTCCAAGACCTTGGGACTGACAGATCAAGAGCCCCCGAGTGTAGAACATGCTCTCCTCTTCCACCTCTGCCCCAGGGTAACCCCAGCCCCGCCCCATGGAGAAAGGCTGCCATGAAGGTTCTGGTACCAAACTTATCAGGGTCAAAAACTCCACCCCCCAGCCTGTGAGAGAAGTCCCCCAAATGATTGGAAACAGCCTCCATTGGAGATCACCCCACTGTACATCACCATTCCTCCCAGCCCAGAAAGACCCACTAAATATCCAATCCCAACACAACCTAGGGGCCAGTTCCCCCTCACAGGACCTTGCCTGCTCTCCCCTAGAGAGTGTACTGTTGCTTTAATAAAACAGCTTTCTGCTTTCACTTTGGGCACCAATCTCTAATTCTTCATTGCATTAGTGCCAAGAGCCGAGACACAATGCTTTTTGCACTGACAGACATTTTGAACTCTAACACACCAGACAAATGTCAGGGCTGGGACTACGAAATGCCTCTCTCTGGCTATCAAATAATGCCAATTTTCTCGCTGTCATTCTTTTCTTCAAAGGTTAGAAATATAAGTTGCGGCAATGAATATACATACCTTCTGGTGCAGGAGACTCATTGAAACTATTTATTCTGAATGAAAAAAATATATATTTCATATGTTTCCAAATTGTGCTTAAATCTAAAGCAGGAGCTTACCTCCTTTCTGGGAACCACTTATCCCTTGCAAATGAGGAGGAACCCAGAACTGAGACTTGCCCATAGTCTCATAGGGAATTAGTGACAGAACCAAGCCTGGAACCAGCCTGGACCTCATCCTGCTCGGTGCACACATGCCCCTGAGTGCACACACACATGCACGTGTGCATATATGCACACGCATTCTCTCCACTGCCAGAGGCACTGAATGCAACAGAAATGACCGTGACCGTTGCAGAAGGCCAGGCTCGCAAGGGTGCGAGTCGTATACCATTAGGCAGTAGACTCAGGCCCAGAGAAGACTTGAGACTGTCTCTTGGAGAGACTGCCTTGGAGAGACTCTAGATTCGATATCACATGGGACCATCTGATCCCCAGACTAAGTCTCTTTCTTTCTTCCTGAGATATGTGTCACCTCTTTGGAGCACTGCCTCCAGCACAGTTGATCTTGCCAGAATCCCCGGCCCCTGGAGAGCTGCTGGGATGCTCCAAGGTGGAGGCAGAATCCGGCTGAATGGCCTGGGCGCTGACGTTGCGCCAGAAGCTCATTCAGAAAGGTGCACGGTTCCTCCGGTGCTCCCTCCTCTTGCCTGTCCTTTAGCTCCCTTCTCTTACTTTCCACCCTAACTGGCCCCCGTCCAGCAATCCCTGCTCTGTAGCCCAGACCAGGCACCAGGCAATCTCATCATTCTGGGGCTAGCCCGTAACTCCACTGCTAATTTGCATATCTAGATAGTCATCTAACAGAAAATACAGGGAAGGTCACTTCTTGGCCACTGGGATATCCAAGAAAGTATACGGAGTGAGTGCTTTTCATCACAAGTTCCATGGACTTCAGGCGTTTCAGATTTTCATTAACTTTATTGATTCTTTTGTCAATAAAGAAAAGAGATGAGAAATTATTTTAAAATGGGGTTGAGAGGCAGAATTTTAAAGATCAAAAATTACAGAATAAGATTCCTCTACACTCCTCTACACTTCCTTTGTCCTTAATAATAATTGGGGGCGGGAAGTCCCCATGGGACTGACTGCAGCTGGCTGATCCAGGATAGTGCACACAGCAGATGTTGACCCAGCCTCTACAGGAGCCCCCAGCCAGAAACATCCTCAGATACTCGAAAGTGAAAAGTGATACTTTCATCCTTTCTTTATTATCCAGATAGGTAGCTGGGTGTGATGCAGGTAATGCAAAAGGGAGAATCACCTCCAAATCATGCATGTTTGCCTTCAGAAAGTGATGGGTTTATACTTACGTTTAAGTTGTCACAGCCTTGATGTCTCTCACCTGACCTCCGGGCACGTAGTCTCACTGCCCACAGCGCACCTCTGCTTGAAACTCTTGTAAGCCTCTCAAACTTGGCACATCTAAAACAGAACTCACTATCTCCTGACTCCCATCCCAGCTTCTTATCCTCCTCTTTAGGTAGCAGCTGCGGTGGCAACTTTCCTACGAGGACCCAAGGTGCCATGCCAGACACTTGGCTGTTCCTTAGCTCTTCCTCACCCTCCCTCCCCCAAACAACTGTGAGTCTTCATCCCTTTCCTAGGAGCTCTCAAGCTTGCCTGCTTTGCAGACTCCCCTGCCATGCCTCTAAGTCAGGCTTCCAGGTTCCCACCCCACCCTTCACCAGGATTACTGCGACAGCCTCCTAACCCTTCTCTCTGCCCCTCCCGTCCACATCCCACACTGCGATCAAAGCTCACATCACACTTCACTGCTTGGCTTAAAACCTTCCACGCCGCTTGCTGCCCACAGAATATGGTCCAGGTTTCCTAAAGCCTATCTCCAGGGCTCTCCGTGGTCAGCTGTCCCGGCTACCTCTCCAGCCCTATCTTCTCCTCACTTCAGACTTCAGAGGCACAGCTGGGATGCTTTCAGAGCCCTCCACACACTGGGCTGCCCCACGTTCTGCTTCTTTGGTCTCCCCATTGCCTGGAGCTCACATCCCTCTCATTTCCTCTACCTAGCTAATTCCTACTTCAGCTGGGCTCAACTCAGGTGACACCGCCTCTGGGAAGCCTTCTCTGCTCTTCCTTGTCCCCACTCCATTAAGGGTGGGTGCTAGCTTGGTAGAACATATGGGACTTTATCTTGATAGATTTTTTTTTTCAAGCCGTGATTTTTTCCAAGTCCTACGCCATGTTGTACTAACATTATATCTGAACCCTTGTCTGCTTTCCACATTGGTCTTTAAACCACTTAAGCTCAAGAACCATTTAGTCACTTTTGCTTTTCCATTGCCTTGGACAGTGCCTGACACATAGCAAGTGTCCTGCAAGTGTTGGTTGACCATAACTGAAAAAGTAAAGTCACTTTGCTGTTTGGAGGGAAATAAATGAGTCTGGGGTTCTGCCTCCAGGAAGGCTGGAGCTTCTCTCCTCCATGCTCTACTCTGCAGCTGAGCCCGTCCCCAGTTCAAGTAGAGCAGTCCTCTTTTCCAAAGGCTTCACACCTTTCCTGGCTATATCACTTAACTGCACTTGAATGATAAAGAGGATTTCTTGGTTCAGATACTAAGGAAGTCCAGAGACAAGGCAGAGATCAGGCAAAACTCAGTCAGGGATCTGCCTGTTTCCTGCCATTCTTTTGGCTACACCCTTTCTCTGCTCATGGCTTCACCCTTAAGCTGCCAGCAGAATGGCTGCAACAATTTGAGGCTCAGGGTCACAATGATAGTATCAGAGGGAGAGAAATTATATCTAAAGAAGTAGGGTTCTGTTTTCCCAGAAGCTTCCAGGCAGGCATCCTCCCATGTTTTATTGTACTGAATCAGATAGCATTCCTATTTCTGAGACAATTCCATTGGCTGGGAAATGTCCTACACTGATTAGCTTAGCTCTGGTGTCCTGAGGATGGATAACCCTTAGAGTGATCCCTCCCTTGGAATTGTGGTTCTGGTGAGCTCCCCTTAATGTGTGTGGGCTGCCTGGGAGATAGGTAGAAGCCTAAACAAACAAAGAAAAACAAAAAAACAAGGTACAGAGCTAAGGGGAGGAAAATAGCTCAGTGCCCACTGTGCCAGTCAGAACTCAGCCTAACCTTAAAATCCTCCTCTTCTGGTTCCTGACAGATTATAGCAGAAACCCTGGAATTGGGAGACTACGGAGTTATAAGAAAAGGTGGCTTATTCTAGAGTCGATTCAATAATGTGTGTGGCTGGGTGATGTGATATGGGACAGGGCATGTTAGGGTGCCCTGTTGCTTCCAACAAGGATTTCTCTCTTCTTCTAGTGCAGTAGGGAATGGATTCAGCCTCCAGGTTGTGTCCTCAGCACTTGTCCCTAAAGCAAACATGGGGCCCTTTTGAGGCTTTCTAAATGTTTTTACAAAGGGGAAGTAGATAGGGATAATACAAACAGCTGCTTCTGCCATCTCAGTGATTCTCTTACTCATTTTCTCTTTCTCCCTTAGGCTCTATAGGGTAACACAGAGGCTGATGATATATCCTTACGCTAAAAGTGAGGGCTTTCCTGGGACACCAGGCTGTGGGCCACCCCCACTCTGAGAATGATGACTGGTTCTCACTGAGCACCAGTAGGAGCACTCTTTTTTTCCTTCCAGTAGCTCTGAAAGTTTTGTACTGTTGGACCCATGGCCCTTCTGACTACTGTGTACCTTCTCATCCCCTCTAGATGTTTGACTGGATAAGCCACAACAAGGAGTTATTCCTCCAGAGCCACACGGAGATTGGCGTGAGCTACCAGCATGCCCTAGACCTCCAGACGCAGCACAATCACTTCGCCATGAACTCCATGGTGAGTGGGGGGCCTGTTCTCAGCACTGCCTCTGGAGACAGGACAGTGGGGGGTGGGGGAGTGGGGGTGGGGTAGAAGGAGGAGGGAGGGGTAGAAACAGATTTGAGACCTGAGTAAGAGGGAGGGACTCTGAACAGGAGGACTCTTTAGCACTCCATGGGGATGTGTGCAGGACATGTGGCCAGCCAGCTGTGCCTATAGCAGATTATGGCCCATTTCTGCCTCCGGACTCTGCTTTACTTGGTGAAAGGAAGGTGCTGGGGTTGTAGAAAGCATTTGCTCAGCACAGGACGGTAAGGGATAGTTGCCGGTTCCACTCTGCTGATTTAACCAACATCTTTTGGTCCCTAGCACATGTGAGTCACTGAGCTGGGATGGAGAGGGACCTCAGGCTCACTGGAAATGTTTCATTGGAAATAGTTGAGTGAATCAGGGCTGTTTATACTGGAGAAGGGGAGCCTTAAGGGACATGCAGTTGCTGCCTTTAGATATTGGAAGGGCTGCCTTTGGAGAGAGAAGGCTAGAATTGCTTTGTGTCGGTCTAGGAGGGACCGTCTAGGGGAGTGCACTTGGAGGGGGAGGCAAGATGGCTCAGGGAGATGGGATGCATTGGGGGTTAGTGAAGTCCCCAGGTTGAAGAGTGTTCAAGTGGACACTGAATTCACAGGAATATTTGCTAGCTGTGTGGTCATAGGGAATTTACTTCTCTGGCCTTCAGTTTCTTCACTCATAAAATGGAAATAATAGCTACCTTCTAAGGTTGTTGTGAGGATCCCATGAGTCAATTATAAGTCAGTTGGAGTTGTGCCTGGTACATAGTAGATTATCAGTTAATATTGGTATGGTAATGATAGTGATGATGGTGATATAGAAGTCTAGTCCAAATAAAACCTGTGAGCCCTTGTAAACCTAACACTTTGGGATACTGTTTTTCCATATGGTTGCCCCAAGACTTTTTTTCAAAATCATGTCTGCCCTTAGAACCCACTGTATTCAGATGCCTGTAGCCTAATTATGCCTCAACTTACCTCCCTCTGTTTTTCTGCCCACTCTTTTTACTTGTGCTCCTTGTCCAAAAGAATAGCTCCACCATTCCCCATATATCTGAACACCAAAGACACCTTCTTATTTGAACCAGTGGTGCTGAGAGGGAGACAAGTGTTAGAAAAATGTAAACATGGAGAATCACAGAGGCCAAAAAGCAAGAGAATTTCATTTTCTACCAGGTTGTTTTAAATACAGTATGTACTAGACTTCATGTACTGAAGAAGAAGCAAATTTGGCCTTAAGTTGTTCTGTATCTAGTTGGGGCAATAACCCAATCGTGGTGCAGCTTGATATGTGCAGTGATAGAGAAACGCTGAGTTAACTGAGAACCCTAATATCTCAGTGGTTTAAAGCAGCAGGGATTTATTTCTCGGGCCTATCACATGCCCATCACTGGCTGGTAGAAGCTCTGCTCATCACCGGCACCCAGGACTCAGGCTGACCGAGCAGCTGCTGCTTCAGATGCTGCTGGTTGCCCCATACAGGCTGGCTCTGAAGCCTCCACTTAGAGAAGTGACACATGCCACATTCACTCACACCTCATTAGCTGACGCCAGGCATACGGCCACATCGAACTTGCTGGGTGGAGATATATGGTCCTACCATGTGCTGGGGAGGAGAACGTAGGGCATCTGTGAATAGCCCTGATGACTAGGCCAGGGAACCGTAGCAGGGTGGAAGGTAGAGATGAGCATCACGAAATTAGCAGAGAAAGCTAACTGTGGCCGCAGAATAGAAGGTTGTAGGACCAGGCAGGGAAAAGATCAACATGATTTTGTTATCAGTTTTTGCCTACAACAGACTTGTGTCTTCATCTAAATGTAAAGACTCATTTCCTTCCACCCAGTCTCCTATAATTATGTCTCATCCCTGGCTCACTTTAGTCGCAGAGAAGCAAAGCAATTGATCACAGGTGATTAAGAATGTGAACTCAAATCTAGTCAAGTTTGATTATCTGGGTACCTTGTGGACTTCCCCTGGTGCATTTGACAAATTCTGTGTCAGATTCTTCATGTCACCCAACTGCTTGGCCCTAAGGCAGACAGACTCATTTTAATAAGAAGCGAAGACAAACATAATTAGGGAGGTAAGTCTGCCATGAAGCCCCTCAAAACAATGAACTACAAAGCTAAATAGAGCGGTTGGCTTTGAGTTATCCACACCGCTGCTCTTCTCTGTTAATATGGATGGCTGATTGTTAATGGCACAACAAAAACCTTCCTCCTGACAAATTTACTTTTGAAGTTTCCATTTTCAGGACAAAACACAAGGGAGAAACTTTACTGAAGGGAAACATCTTGTGGAGCTGGGAGAGAGAGAAGAGGAGATTTAATATACAATAGCCAGTTAGCTTGTTCAGCGCATCTCGTAGTCTCCCATGGCCGACTGTGAAGGCATGTCGCTTGCAGAGGCCTCCTTGTACTGATTAGGCTGGCTCTCCTCTCTGGCTGGAGGGCGAGGCAAGGGAAACCCCAGGGTTGTTTGATCAAATTGCCTGGGCTCTGTGTCTTTGTTAACCAGTAGGTTTACAGGTTTGTTATTAAAAGCAACTCCCACAAAGAGGGATGTCAGCATCCCAAACAGGTGAAAGGAGGGAATTACAGACTCCTTTTCTCTGGCCTGAGTGATGGATGTTGCTGCCAAGAAACAGATGAATGCAAGCAGCTACTGCTGGAGCCCAGTGACTATAGAATGATCCGCTACTCAGGGCAAGTGGGGATGTGGATTGTTCTGTAAATTCACTGAGGCATTTCTGTTTCTGTTCTTGGAAATTATATACTCACCTATACATACACCCACAAATCTGTCCATGTAAATGTACCTGTAGCGTACTTTGTTTCAGGTTATAGGTAAGTTCTTTTGGTATTCATTGCTGAAATAGGCCAGTGATTCCATTCCATACCTTTTGGGGGGTCACAGACCCCTTGAAATCTAATGAAGCTTGTGAGTCCTCTCCTCAGAGTAATATGTAAATGAACACTTTTTTTTAGATAATTTCAGGGGATTCAAGAGTATCCTAAAACCTATCAATCAACCGCCCCAGTTTAAGATCTTAAGAACTTCATGATTTCAGGGCGCCTGGGTGGCTCAGTTGGTTAAGCAACTGCCTTCGGCTCAGGTCATGATCCTGGAGTCCCGGGATCGAGTCCTGCATCGGACTCCCTGCTCAGCGGGGAGTCTGCTTCTCCCTCTGATCCTCCCCCTCTCATGCTCTCTGTCTCCCATTCTCTCTCAGATAAAAAAAAAAAAAAAAAAAAAAAAGAACTTCATGATTTCTTCATGTATTCATTCCACAAATAATTAAGGATCAGATATTGTGCTGGATGTTGGGCATATGGTGGTGAATAAAAGAGAGATGGTCTGCTCCATGGGGGGTCCAGTGGAGAGACAGATGTTTAATAAATAATCTCACAAATAAATATATAATTATAAACCAATAAGTGTTATGTTGGAAGAGTAAGGTATGCTATGATAGAGTATAATAAAAGGAACTCAATTTAAATGGGGAGTCAGCTACATTTTTAATTGACAGTCAACCCTGACTTAAAGCTCATTGTTCTTTTATTGATAGTAATTAACGGTCTGTGAATTAACTCTATGATGGATCAAAGAACTTATAATTAAAGAATTCCTAGGTATATTGTTTTATAAATAAAATTAATCAACTTGTAATTTATCTGGTTTTTAAGTTTTGTTTTCATGTGTCTAATTTTATATGCTGGTTAAAGACCCAACTCCAGCTGAGGTGACCACTACTGAGAAATAATTGCATATCATTAAATCATGGAAGAAAAGCCAGAAATTTCCTAAGTTCTATCAATGAATTGGTACCAATAAAGGCCATCAATTATTAGCACACCAAGAGTGTGGGAGTGATACCCTACAGAGTAAAAGTACATGAGCAACTCTGAAAGAAAAAGGTTGAAATTGGTTGATCTTTGGATTTTTGCCATAACATTTTTTTTTTTACAATTCCCACTGGGAAATTCCAGTTTTTTGATCTTCAAAATAACAACAGCAATGATAATGGTAATACTAATACTAATAATAATATCATCCTTCCTACTAAACCTAGTAGGAAAATATTCTTAGGCTTCTTACAGTGCCGCAGAAAGCCAGGTTTCTTGAGCTCTTGGAGGCCCTTCTCTTGCTTAATTGTGCCTGTTGTTGTGGAATCTGTTCTCACAAATTCTCTTTCCTCTGAGTATGCTCTTCTCTGATGGGAGTGTGGACAGATGGAAGTAGGGTTGAGCTGTAATATGCAATGTAACAATCATGTAGCCATCCATGTTCTATTTCTTCATGAAAAAGACACAGGAGTAAATCCAAACGTAATGCAGTCTTATTTACAATTCTAATTAGCTGGTTCTTTGGGAAAAAAATTAATTGCTAATGGCTTCTTTCTAGAGTTCTAAAATATGAAATGGTGTTCATTTTCTATTATTATGACTGTGAGGATTCACATTAGTGATAACCATGTGCAGCTGGGTGGTAGGAATCCTTTCTGCTATAGCATGTTTGATAGCTGCTTTAATCCTATTAATTTGTTCACCAGAGGCACATATTGCCATTTGTGTGTAAATCAGATCAATTGCAGCAAAGACTATGGTGTCCTTTCTCTTTGTTTTGAGGGAAAATTACAAATGGTAGCGCCAAGGAAAAGTCAAATCTGGTACAAGAGAAATAAAGATCCTGAGGCAGGTCTCCTGACCCCAATTTGAGAAGCCTTGCTCTGGGGTCATCTGTCATCTTTGATGCTTGGCATTCCCAAACCATGATTCTGTAGCACTTTCCCAACCCCAAACACAGAGCAATTTTTTTAATAACAATGTTTCTAGATTTCAGTGTAAACACACATACACACACACTATTGTGGTGTTTAAATAGCCAGTATTTGATCCTGCCATAGCTGCAAAGCACCTTAGTAAACATAGAACCTGTTTAAAGAAGAA